ATAGATTTCTCTGCCTTCAGGGTTGATTTCTGGGTACTTGTCATTTTCCTTCTGCTCTGGAGATTTAATGTATTTTTTAACACTGTTTGACAGCGTGGCTTTGTGCTTCCGCATTGTGGTAGTATTTGATCACTGCTTCCACCTGTCGCCACTGCGTGGGGGTCAAGAGCTGTGTATTCTGAGCCTGCTGTGATCTGTGGCACAGCTCCCAGGTGCTGAACTGGGGTGCAGGGTGGAGGGAAGGGGCATTTTCTTTCTCCTGCGTGATCTCAGGGGCTTCTTGGTATGTGCTGTCCTAGGGTGTTAGCTTGATGAAGACACCCCCACAATAGCACAGTCACCTCTGTGTGGGGCCTTCCCCCAGGCTGTGAGGGACCTCAGAGTTCGATGGTGTTCCCGCAGAGGCCTGCCGCCCCCTCCCCCCTTTCTTCTCAGAATCCCTTGGTCACTGCCCTTCGAGGAGAAAGAGCAGCTTTGTCTTGTGTCATTCGACTTCCTTGAGTGGGATGCTCCACCACCTCCACCTTCCAACGTGTGGCTGCGTGGGTCTCTCAGACGTCTTCTGTGTTGTGTGGATGTCCTCTGTTGGAATAGGAATGTCCTTTTCACTGTATCTTAGAGGGGAAAGTTTAGGGGGAGAATGCAGTCCACTGTGGTGCTGACATCACCCTCAAATTCAAATTTTATTTCTTTTCAGATATTTAAGCCTTAAATAACATAAATCATATATTCTTTTTCACAAATTGACAGGAAAAGGAGTTTGTGTTAATAGCAGGATATATAATAGTGTCAGATGTTCTTGCTTCTGTCTCACTTGTCTAGAAAGTTCCTGATCTTTTTGGCAAGCCCTAGGCAAACATTAAAATATAAGCAAGTACACTGAAAGATATACATGTTCATAAATAATCCCATACTTCATAGTATGTTGGAGATTTAATGGGGGCAGTTTCATTCTGAAGCACACCTAGAGGGCTTTGTTTCTTTTGTTTTGGTAATTCATTCTTGCAAAACCAGCCATATTCTTCCTTTGTGACAGTAGTTTATATATGCAAGACACTTGTTCATGTGGAGGGGTTTAGTCTCTATGCCCACAACAGAACTAGTCAGATATGCCCTGAGGAAGACCACATGCGGTGTAACCACTGAGAAAGCAGGGACGCCTTTGAAGTGAAGTAAAAAGTCACACAGCTGTCAGTCATAGAAAGTGGTCACCAAATTACTTTCTAAAAAATCATAAAATTTACTTCTAGGGGGAAAAGCCAGAATTTGGGGGGAACAAATGTATATATTTACATTATAGTTTAACACATTATCAAATATAGAGAGAATTCTCAAATTGGCACAAAATTTTGGTTTTTTCCTCTATTTTCCCTCTACTTTTAAAGAAGTTGAGAGAAGAAAATTTTGACCTCAACTGGGTGTTCCTCTCTTCTCCCATTTATTTGATTTTTTTGGTTTTGCTTTGATTCCTTAGTGTTAAATATACCCCCAAAAATGTTTTTAGGTCTGTAATGATCCTTTCCCTTCAATTGCTTTTAAGGAGCTGGGTGTGAAATACAGTGTCTTCCTAGTGGATCCCTGCCAAGTGTACGTCAGTATCAGGGGGTTCTGCTTGCTAAGTTTAGGTGTCCTTCTTGAAGATTGGCACCTGAGCTAACTAACATCTGTTGCCAATCTTTTTTTTTCTTCTTCTTCTACCCCAACCCCCCCACCCCAAGTACATGGTTGTATATTCTAGCTGTGAGTGCCTCTGGTTGTGCTGTGTGGGATGTCACCTCAGCATGGCCTGATGAGTGGTGCCATGTCTGTGTCCAGGATCCCAATCAGTGAAACCCTGGGCTGCCGAAGTGGAGCACACAAACTTAACCACTCGGCCACGGGGCCAGCCCCTAGGTGTGTTTGTTAAATACTTTGTTGTAGACTTCTACTAGAACATGGTATGGTAACACAAATAGCCTTTGTATCTCTTTGGTTCAGTGTTTTTCAAACTTTTTATCTTGAAATGAATTACATGGGTCCAGCCAACATTTTTTTTAATGAAGCAGAATAGAAAATATTCATACATATGAAGAGTATTATTTGTAAAACTTTTGCTAGACACAGAGATCCATACATACTAGATTGTAAAGTGCATTTCTTACTGTGAGTTGTAATCAAAATTATTTGAAAAATACTGCTCTAGCTACAGTTTTTGTGTATGTGTCTCTGGGTTGGTCTGGTATCTTAAATGAGACCGGAAGCTTTAAGACACTGTTGCTACCTGTCTTTAATAAGTATCTCCAAATTGCTGGTTTTGTAAAAACATAAAATACTTGTCTTTTCAGCAGTTTTCATCTTCCTCAAACTGAGAATTTCTCTCTGTATACTCTGTTTGATTTTATCCACTAGCATGGGCCAGTCCTGCTAAATCATTATGTTTTGTGGAAGAGTGTCCTGGAAGCTCTGATGGTGAAAAACCAGGAATCTAACTGTTCATCTCAGTTCCATGCGTCAAGCAATTATTTTTGAGATCATTGGGATGATCCAGAGGAGATGCAGAAAAAGCCCTGGATTTAAGGCCATAATCTGGGTACTAGTTCTGGCTCTGCAGCCTCATGGTCATGGGATCTTGGGCAAAGAAGTCACCTGTTTGAATCTCAGTTCTCTTATTTACGTGATGAAGGAAATGCTGGGGATAGTGCTGTCAGTCAAATGGCTAATGAACATGAAACCAGCTTACCCTATAAAATGGACGCAAACACTTGTCATCATCTCCTTTATATTCTGTTAGGTAAGTTATTTCATTCCTTAGGAAATCTAAGTTTTTGGTCAAGGAAAAGGGTCCCATAAAATTCTTTTTAGCTTGTAAAGTCTAATGTAGTCAAGGATGTTGAGCTGAAATCCTAATAAAAATAGGTAACACTTACTGTTAACTTAGCAAGCGCCAGGCACTTTACTTGTCACTCTTTACCCTAATTCTTACAGTAACCTTATCCAGCCAGTTACTGCTATTTTTACTGTCCTATCGAGGACAAAATTGGAATTAGATTAAGTAACTGATCCATGGTTATACATCTTGGAAATGTCTGGCTTTGAGTCGAGTCTGATGCTAGAACTCCAACTTAACCACAAAGCCTTAGCACTCCTTCTCCTGGCACAGCGACATTAATGAAATACAGTTGTTAATATCACCGCAGATGATGTGCCATTGGGCCGTCGCCTGGTTTGTTCTCCTTTGTGGTCCTCTTTGTCGCTTCAACTGCTGGCAGCTTGGTTCAGAGAGTGAAGAGAAAGTGAGCTGGTTAGACCCCAGTTCCTGGCTAAGGAAGTCAGTGACACGAGTCCTCAAGCCCTCTGGGTTTTAATGGTGCTATAGCTGCAGAAATTCCAGAAAAATAGTTTTTTATAATTTGGGGAGCACATCTTGTAGAGAGGCAGAGAGTGACTTCAATCACATTTTTGGTGGATTTTTTTTTATCTGACTTTTTGAGAAAAAGATGTACAAAACTAATTTTTTAATCTCAATAACTTGGTATACCCATTTCAGAGAAGACAATAACATGAAATCAGCTGGATCACAATTTAATTCATATGTGAGCCCAAAGGTACCACAAAATAACAGAAGGTGTATATAATGTTAACAGTGGTTATTCCTCAATGGTAGGGCTGTGGAGGATTTCTTTTTCTTTTTCTTTTCAGTATTTTCCAGACGTGTATTGACTGATAGGTTGATTTTTTTTTTTCCCTGCTGAGGAAGATTCACCTTGAGCTAACACCTGCTGCCAATCTTCCTCTTTTCGTATGTGAGCTGCTGTCACAGCGTGGCCAGACAGACAACTGGTGTAGGTCCACACCCGGGAACCCAACCCAGCCCGCTGAAGCAGAGCATGCCGAACTTAACCAGTAGGCCACTGGGGCTGGCCCTTTCCAGACTTTTAAATGAGAGGGTATTACTTTGAAACAGGAGAAAGAAAACCTTTTTTTTTTTTTTTTTTAAAGATTTTATTTTTTTTCTTTTTCTCCCCAAAGCCCCCCGGTACATAGTTGTATATTCTTTGTTGTGGGTCCTTCTAGCTGTGGCATGTGGGATGCTGCCCCAGCGTGGCCTGATGAGCAGTGCCATGTCCACGCCCAGGATTCGAACCAACGAAACACTGGGCCGCCTGCAGCGGAGCGCGCGAACCCAACCACTTGGCCACAGGGCCAGCCCCGAAAACAACCTTTTTTTAAAAATCTATATTTATTTCAAAATCTTACCTGTTAGCACCACCCACACCTTTATCTTCTTTTTGTATTTACTCTGGAGATTAAACGTTTTATTGACAGTACTGAGTGAGGAACCATGTCCTGAACGTAAATGCCAAGGACAGTTTTTATTGAACTCTTCAGTCTTCTTTTAAATTTATGTTGGGTCTTTGGAAGTGACCCCTCCTGAGCAGCAGGCGTTTTCCTTCCCATCCTGTTGCACAGGTTTTCTTTGCCATATTTAAACACCTCGCCATGGTATGTTTTAAACACACTACTTTCAATACTGCTGAATTAGCTCCTATTTTGAAGTTTGTATTTCCTTCCCAATTTAATTGCTGTCTCGCAAGACTCCGGGGCTGTTTCATTGCTCCAGGTAAGGAAATGCAGGGTCCTGTGACGTGATGGAAGACACAAATGACTGGATCGATTCTGGCTTCTCTCTGTTCCTGCCTTCAGCAAATCAGGCTAAATACTATGGTTTATATTTCATTGGTTATTACTTCTGGGCTCAAAATTTTGATATTTGCTAGTTTGCATTTTGTTACTGAGTATTTACACAAGAACACACATTCCCCTGTCTTACAGCCCTCTGTATGAAGAAAATCAGAAGGAATCAGTCTCACCGGGATAGTAATTGCCCTGGTTTTATTTCATTCTGTGGTCTCTATCTCAATTCAAATTACCTTCTTACTACTGTGGTCCTGAGGGAAAGGCCAAGTTTTTGACTAGAGAAACAATAATTGGATTTGTATTGAATACTTTAGGAAATAAACTTTTTTTGGATGCCATCTTGTAATCTTTATTAAAGGAGGCTCAGAAAAATAGATACAGCACAGTAAGACTTCTTCTGTTCTTATGCTGTTAAGACCTCTACATTTCCAGATGGTCTATAAAGAGAGATACGTGAAATAAATCTCCATAGTTGAAATACACTTTTTTTCATTGTACAAATGCTGAAACTTATTTTGTTAAAATACAGTTTTTATGTTTCTTCCCATATCAGAGCTATGTTTTACAATTAATGAAAGATTTCAAAAATTACAAAGTGACACCAATCTGATCTTAATATGCCCTGGTGTTCCTGCCTCTCTGTAGAAAGAGAGGCAAATTTTAGTTCTGGGGGCTTTTCTTAAATGTATTATTTGGTATTAACAAGATTCCCCCATTTAATATAAAAAGCATCCATTTATTTTGGAAGAATTGTCCTCAGCCTACCTTTGGTTTAGTTAATTCATTTACTCCCTATTGGATGGTTCATGTGGCTTTAGACAAACAGCACGGATCGCCTTCTGCTCTGTGTTTATCGTGTCCCTCGTTTCACTCCCGACTCAGTGTGGCTGGTCTCCTATGTTAGCAGTGTAGGTGGGAATGGCCGAATTCTGTTTCTGGCCCCTAAATTAGTGATTGAGCTTCAAATAACTAGTGCTGAGAAAACATGAATGGCTGCCGTCATTTTAATAGCCAAGTTGTCAGTGTGCTCTTCACCAACGAGCTTGTTAGACCTGAAGTCCTAGCAGGACTTGATGAGGCAGTTAGTGTTGCTTTTGGGTTATGGGCGACGACGTACTCTGTGTTGAAAGAGAAAATGTTAGAGAAACTAAGAACTGAATAATGAAAATCCTTTGTTTCTGTTTTCCGAGCAGCTTTGCTCTCGGGAGCCTGAGGGCAGGGTCCCTTCACGTTCGTGGTCCGGGCTTCCGGCTCCTGGCTGAGACTGCTGGATCTCCTCTATCCAGGTGCCTGTTGTAAAGGACAACGGGCTGCTCTGCGTGCATGCGAGGGAGACACGCAAATGTTCCTGAACTAATGCATTAGTGAAAATTAGTGAAAGGAAAGTGGCACAAACTCAAGACAAAGTTAGCCTTTTTTTGCGGTACTCAAAGTTGAGAGCAGGGAGTTGCCGTGGGTATAGAATTTAGATAGCGATTCGTGATCAAAACCCTTGGGGATTCGATCTTGGCAGAACAATGACAGTGTTGCATTCGGGGAAGTTCACTGAAGAGTTAAAAATGCTTCTCCAGGGACCATCAAAGCCATGGAGCTAAGCATGTGAGAGACGTTGAGGAGAGACTTCCTAGCCTTTCCCTGAGCCCCGTCTCTGACCCTCAGGGAGGGCCTTTCCGGCCCATGCAGGGCTGGGCAGAGCAGCAGTTTCTGGGGGGCCGTGGGCAGTTCAGATGGCAGTTGGGGCAGACTGCTGTGGATGGGAGGGGATTGTGTTTTACCTACTCTGGTCCGTTCCTAATAAATGGTCTTCTATATGCAATGTCTTGGACATTACAAGCAGTTCTCTTGTAAGTAATAAATACGCCTGCTTGGAAGTAGGAGCACATGGAAACTACTCTGAATAACTTAGTTAAAATGTTTTCTTGTGGAGCTACCAAGGACTGGATGACAAAAATAAGACACGTAGCGAACTGCTTCGAAACTAAAGGGTGCGAGAAAAAAGCACCGGAAGTTGAGTGATTGATGATGGTGTATACAGTGGCGGTGTTTTCCTTCGTGCACACTAATTTCCATTCGACAGCCTCCCCTCCAGCACTGAGATTCGAAACCCTCTCAGGGTGACAGTTTTTCCTTAGCAATCAAATAGAGCCCCAGGTGTTCCCCACAGAAAGGGCCAGGGGACAATAAGACACTCCCTAACGATCCTGTAGGGCTGTCTGTAACTGCCAGGAAGTATTCTGGGTTAGATCATGTCAAGAAACATGGGGCAAGTATGCAAATATATATAAGGATAAGGTGTTCAGAATTTCCCCTCATTCAGGCAGAAGTTTCTGGGTAATTGCAGGAATACTAAGGCCAGTTGCTCAGGGAGGGGCCGCCCCTCATTTTCTTTCCAGGAAGAATATGGATACTGCGCTTCATGATAGCAATGTGTGAAAAACCAGGCCTGATGACACCTGCGCAATGTCCTGAATGCCACTGGACGTTCTTGTGGTTTATGAGATGGGAAGAGAGAGTTTTCCGTTTCTGCGGAGGATGGACTTACTTAACAAATAAATCATCCTGCAACTCCCCCATGAGACTTCAGTAATGGAACTGAGGGGCGTCTGTGATTTTTGGATGAAGGAGAAAAACTAAGTAATATTACCTCTTAACCTCCAAGTGGAGAAAGCAAGCACCAAGTTTCTCTTGATGTCATTAAAGCAGACTGAGTTCTCAAACCCTGCCCTCCCTCCTAACTAAAGACAAATCTGGTCTGGTTCTAAGTGCTGTTTTCCACAACAGGAAACTCCCCTGCCACTGTTTTATTTAAAAACCAACCCCAATCACACCTCAGTGTCCATGCTGCCCTTCCCCTCCATGGAGAATGCCCACAGCCAGCGAGGCCGCCCACACGTAAAGGCTCTCCAAAGAAATAAGCCCAACTTCTTATTGACAGAAATATTCCTCGCTGTTCTTATGAAATACATTTTGGTATCTATTTCAGACTCAATAGTTTCTATTTTCCACATTATTATCAGCAGCTGCAAATCCAAGATATTAAAGAGATAATCTATTTAAACGTGGTCCTTACCATCTGCTAAAGGTGGCTGACAAGGGTGATATTTGCAAACACGATGCTTTTGTGTCTGGGTTATAGAATAACCTCCTTTCCACAAAGGCAATATGTTGCAAAATTGATGCCTCAAGGCCATTGAAATGACATAACTTCAGTCAAGCATTAAGAAGTTCATCATCTGAGTGTCCAATAGCATCTGGGTTTGAAAGTGGATCCAAGTCTGCAAATAGATTGAACCAGGCTGACATGTCTTGGTTACCATTGTCGGGAGCTATTAAAAAAGAAAAAAGCACATTTAAGAGTCTCAGAGTTTGAAATCACATTATTGTAACGCTTAGGATTTTAAAGTAGATGCTTCTTTTCTTTTGAATCAAAATTTAGGACAACTGACAAGCATGAACTATCAATTATATCTCCTTGAGGATAATTTTGAGAAGCCAGTGCGGATGCCTTGTGCTTTGCTGAGGCTCTGAGACATGGGCAATCGCACGATGTGCTGAGAAAGGACTCGATTAAAAGGGAAAAGGCAGGCAGAAATAGTCTGCTTAGAAACACTAAGATTATGTACAGATGGCTCTCAGATGAGGTTCAAAATTAAAAGTAACCTTTGTTCCTACAAAGTAGGAACATTACATTTGTAAACTCAGTGCTTAAAATCTATATTTATAGTAAAAGTAATATTAAAATATAGGACATAAAGGGAAAAAATCCCCCTAATCCTACCACATTAACACACCCAACGGTTGTCATTTTGGGTTACAGTTGTTCGCTTTGTCTTTTCCATGTGCACTCTACAAATTTTTGATATACATCTTATGGAGTAGATTGTGTCTCAGATACAACTTCCTGTTAACCGACTCCCTCTCGTCTTCCTGTGGAGACTGGCAATCTTGTACCTCAATAGTCTACAAGTTGCACTGTGGCAGATATTTGAGGATGTATGTTTGGGCTGAAGGCTGGGACTGATAACAAATGCACAGTGGCGCAGACAGTGGTCATCTCAGAAGGCTAGGCTCTTGAAGGCCAGGGGGTCCAGAAAGCAGGACTGAGACCCAGGAGACAATCTAAAGACCTACATATGAGGCCAGCGACACAGTGGGCAGAGGATGGAAGGCGGGCCCACGCAGAAGAGTCTCAGGCAACGCTCTCTTGCCATCATGGTCACCACTTTCCACAGGCCAGAGAGCCGGAGTTCGGGCTGTGGGGTCCCAAGTCTCAAGGATCAGGACAGAGTGAAAGGCTTTAATGTGCGTCCACTTCTGTTTCTGGGAACCCCAAGATAGTCAGTGAAACCCACACAAGTTCTGACTTTGAGTCCTGGGCACACCCCCTGCTGATGAGTAATAATGGGCAATCATTGAACCGCAGGGGCTCTTGTTTCCTCATCTGTAAAGTAATAACCATATAACTTATCATTAAACCAGGATATCTGAGAGTGAAGAGGCGGGCTATTAGTAATTATGCTGGAAGAACAGTGTCACCCAGGACCTGCGGCCATCCCAGCAATGCCTGACCTCCCTGATGTGTAGGGGAAACCGCACAGCACTGCACAGACGTGAGATGGTTTAATATTCATCTGACACAATGGGAAGTGAAGGCCTTAGTTACACTGTTTTCATGGTGGGGGGTCTCCTTGTGTACACGTTTCTTGCCTCCAGAGATTCTTACAGGACAACAAATAGAAAATGAATGAATTATACTGAACCATAATATACATATAGAGAAAAAGAACCCAAATAATTATTATTAATTTTCATAAAGTAAAAGCAACCATAAATAAAACTAACATCAAGAAACAGACATGACCACTCCTTAGACGTTCCCCTTGTGATATAAACCATGGAAGAAACATGACTCCGTGCTGATAATAAATGGGGGAGAGGTCTTTTGTTTACAGAGTACTGAGGGCGAAACATGACTCCGTGCTGATAATAAATGGGGGAGAGGTCTTTTGTTTACAGAGTACTGAGGGCTGGCGGAAGGAGCAGATTGTATGGCATGTGAGTTATATGTCAATAGGCTGTTTAAAAATGTGATCAATGGATGAATGGATAAACAAAATGTGGTCTGGCCATACAGTGGAGTACTAGTCAGCCTTAAAAAGGGAAGGAAGTCCTGTCACGTGCTACAACACGGATGAGCCTTGAGGACATTATGCTAAGTGAAATAAGACAGTCACAAAAAGACAAATACTGTATGATTCCACTCATACGAGGTATCTAAAGTAGTTAAATTCATAGAAACAGACAGCAAAATTGGTGGCTATGGGGGGCTGAGAGGAGGGGGGAAGAACTGTTTAATGCATATAAAGTTTCTGATGCGCATGATGAAACAGCTCTGGAGATCCGTTTCACAACAAGGTGCATATGCTTAACATGACTGAACTGTACAATTAAAAATGGTTAAGATGGTAAATTTTGTTATGTGTTTTCTACCACAATAAAAAAAAAAATGTGGGGGAGTAGTAGGGTTGGAAAATCATCATTTTTTGCCCATCATATTAAGGACTGAATCAGGCAAAAAGCAACAGTGGATGCAAAATCAAAGAGGAAATTCTGATGAAGAGCAGGATGTGTGCGTGGTCGTGGAGAATCTCCCCACTGGCTGCTTAGTAATTGTAAGAAAGAGTAAAATAAAACAATAGTGATCATAGAGGAGAAAAACTGGACACCACCTTGAATTAGTGGTCAAAATTAACCTCACCAATGAGGGAGAGATGGCCAGTGCAAGCTCTCGGGGGAGAGGCCTGAGGAAGGACCAGCACCCCTGCCGTCTCCCCGTGGAGAAAGAGTAACCTGAATTTAATCGCGAGGAGACCTCAGGTGAACAGAAATACAGAGTATCCTATTAAAAACAAAAAGCAGTGGAGCAGAGGCACTAGATCCTCTTAAAATGGCCAAAAGCCAAAGAAAAGCTGTGGAAATGTGTCAGATTAAAACAGGCTGAAGAAACGTGGCAGCTGGATGCAGTCCATGACCCTTGACACGCTGTGCCAAACGGGGAAGTGCCACAGAGGACATGACAGGGTCAACTCACGAAACTGGAGGACAAATACACGGTAGATGACAGGAAACTACCGTGTTGACAGTAAATGTCCTGAAGTTTACACCCATACCGTGGTTATGCAAGAGAACACGCCTGTTCTTAGGAAACACAAACTTAAGTCATTAGGGGTGAAGGGTCATGACGGATGTCACACACACACACAGGCCTGTGTAAAGCAAATGGGGAAAATACACTAGGTGAATCTGGGTAAAGGGCACACAGGTGTTCTTTGTGCTATTTTCGTTTGTGCAACATTTCTGTATGTTTGAAATTCTTTCCAATTAAGAAGTTTTAAAAAATCAACATCAGTGACTAAGATGTATCTAAAATCCTGGAAGATAGAGAGTGTGTCTATTTTCTGTGTACACCCTACATGGTAATTACAACATGGACCAGCTCTGCAGACAACAACATGGTAAGTACTCAATATATGTTAGCAATGACTATGTACCAGGCCCCGTGCTAAGTGCCTGGATGCGGTCTTCGTCGATAGGCATCCGTAATCAAAGAGTGTCTTCTCTCCCTAATGGTGTCATCCATTACTAACAAACCTTAACACAGATATAAAAGATTCAAGTACAGAATTCAGTTTACTATGACATGCTCACAATTTCTATTCGAGTCTTTCCATGGTGAGGGATAGCCAGGTATAGCTTTCATTTTAATTCATGATTAAGAAAATATTTTTTCTGGACAATATTGAGGTGAAGACTTTTCTAAATTTATCTGAATTCAACTGATTGTTAATATGATAGCAAAGAACACAAACAAGTAACTTACATTTCGTTACTTTCCCTGGACTCCGTGAAGGCCGGGGCTGGTTATCAGTCTGTGAGAGAGGAGGTTCTGATGCCCCTGCCGAGGCCCAGCCTGGGGAGGAAGTCATGGATTATCACTGTTAATCAGATAGGAAGTGGCATCAGAAAAACAAGGAAAAGCAAAATAATCTAAGAAGCCCTCCAATGGTTAAAGCGGGGTCAGATTCTACAGTAGAGGAGGCATACTTAGAATTTGTCCGCAATTGTGTATGTTATTCAAATCATCTAAATTTAGTCCCAGCCAGAATGACTTCCTTACATTTTTCAAATGGTTTTAAAATAAATATATAATTTTTTTTTCTTTTTAACAATTGCAAATGGATAAGGTATAAAGAGAGATGTTCCAAGGATTTAGGGGAGAGGAAATAGACCTGACAATCAGAATCTCAAAACCTATGAATGTGTTTATACCATTGGACTCCATAGTCCCATTCCTAGAAATTTATCTTAAATAATTTAACTGAAGGAAAAACATGCATGATTATGTTTATTGCAGCATTATCTAGAAAATGAAAAAGAAAAAGGAAGGAATTAAGTAGATTATGGTGGATAAATGTGACAAAATACTATATGCAGTCATTAGAAAGTCTCAATATGAAGACTTGGTGTCACAGGGAAGTGTTTGCTGTGACATGAAAACTTATTTATGCTGTAGTTAAAGCACAAGGCTAGAAAGAACTTGGATTATCCTGCTGACTACCTCCTTGTACAGAAGAGATCATCTGAGGCTCAAGTTCTTACCTGGGTTCCTAGAACATAGCTTTTTTTTTTCTTGTTTTTTTTGTTGCTGTTGTTGTTTGTTTTAAGGAAGATTAGCCCTGAGCTAATGTCTGCTGCCAATCCTGTTCTTTTTGCTGAGGAAGACTGGCTCTGAGCTAACATCCATGCCCATCTTCCTCTACTTTATATGTAGGACGCCTACCACAGCATGGCTTGCCAAGCAGTGCCATGTCCGCACCCGGGATCCGAACCGGCAAAGCCTGGGCCCCGAAGCAGAACCTGTGCGCTTAACCGCTGCGCCACTGGGCCAGCCCCATAGAACATACATCTTTTAACTCTCAGGGCAGCTCACTTCTCAGGTCTCCATCACAGGAGAAAAAGTAGTAGACCTAAAGGGAAGGCTAGTGGAGTAGAGAGAGGCCGGTACGAGGAGGCAGGAGACCGGAGTTTGGTCCCCTCTGAACTGTTTAAACTGCCTGATGACCTTGAGCAAGACACTCAGACACTGAGAACCCGCTGCCTCCGCTATTGCATGGGAACATGCTGTCAGCCTGCAGGCAGGGACCAGACAGATGTCCTGAGTGGTGAAGAAATATCGTCGCCATTGCCAGAAAAATGGGAGGAGAATCCAGCGCTGCCAGAGATGTGGCAAGTGAAGGAGAAAGAGCTCCCTAAAGCAACAGGAGCTCACAGTGGAGAATGAATGTGCTTGTAAATCTTTTTAACTATTGGGCCATTGATACGCCACGTGAGAGTAATTGTTTTCTAAAATTTTACGATAGCAAAACGTCTAGATGGGGTGCCTCTTTATCAAATGATACTGCCCATTCTTACTTTTAGGCTATTTAACATATTCTTACTAAGCGACTGTTTAACTGATACTTTATTTATTGAGCTAACTTATGCTGCTGTCACAGAAAGCACAAGGATAAATCACCCCACAGACTATGCCCTTGAGGTGTTTGCAGAGTGAATAAAGTATGATGGTGTTCAGATAAATTATGAACATGAGTTACTAAGAACAAGGAATGCATTAAGATACAGGAGCCGTGAGGCTTGTACTCAAGGGTTTTAATCTACTAGGAGATGAAAGACAGGGATATAAGGCAAGACAAACTGTGATCACAGCCACGAAAACAGCTAGAGCACAACGGGAAGCTGGGGGAGGGGGCCCCTCCCTGTGGCAGCACTGGGGCGTCTCCAAGGGGCCGCCAGGGAGGAAGCACTGGCCTGGGGACCTAAGGTCCAGGCGCAAGGCCAGGCTCCATTGCGAACACAGTAATTCAAGGAAGCGACACAAGCAGAGATGCCTCAGAGGGATCTGCACACACTCCATGAGGTCACAGAAAGCTTTGGAGTAAGGGTGGCAATAAGGGTGGCAAGGCAGGCACAGGCAGGTTTATCCCGGAGCTCGTGGTGCTTCACGTTTCTAAATGTAAGCGGGGTCCTGACATCAGTATCTGCTTCCTGAAGAGAACACCTGGAGGAGGCGTGGGATGAACTGGCGTTTGGCAGGCCTGTGGGCAGGACTCCTGCAGCAGCCCAGGAAACAAAGGAGACTCTCGGTGGCTCTGGTAGTGGAGGCCAGGAGGGAGGGGGGACATTTGAGGCGTGTCTTAGAATTGACAGGACTTCGTAACCAAAACAGAAGCGGGGAGCAAAATGACTCCCCAGGGAGGGTGCTGGGTTGGACACGGTAGGGTGGAAGAGCAGGCGGGCAGAGGGAGTCCCGGCCGTAGCAGCAAAGCAGGCGGCCCCCTCCCCAGGGCAACACGCCGCCCCAGCCCCCTCCCACAGTCCGCTCCCGCTGCCTTGCCCGAAGGCTACGGGGAACCAGCCTGCAGAGCTGTCCTTTTCTCTCGTCAACTCTGAACCCACAGGAGGAGTAGACGCCAAGTTTTGCTAAGTGGAAGAAACAGTTTGACCGGCCCTAGGTGGGGTAACTCAGCAGGTCCAGACACTGATTTTCTATGCAGAGAAGACCCCCGGGAAAGTCAATGAAGACACTGTGGGGTTTGGGGACGGTGGCAGGAGAGCAGCTGTTTCGCTCTCGTTGACAGACTCCAGCGGAGATAATATGTTACTTTTCCAGTCGACTGGGGTGCTGCAGGCTCTGTCTCGTGGTACTGACATTAGCCCCAGTCTCCTTGTTGAGTTTCGCATCCACATGCGCACAGTTTCGTTTCATAAAGATAAAGTAAGTCACGGGTGTCCAGATGTCCCACGGATACTTACTGTGGGCAGCTCCAGCCGCACGAAGACCAAGGTCAAAGAGCTGTGAGGGCAGGAATCGCGAGCAAAGAAGACGCGGCTCAGACCCGACCGAGGGCTCTCGGGACCAGAGACCGGCGCTGGGGCTCCCCAGGGCAGGGCGCTCCTGGGGGGATCCACAGGCACTCGAAGACCCAGCACCCGGGAGGCTGTTCAGAAAGGAGAATTCCTTCTCAAAGTCGTCTTCCAGTGACTCTACAGGTAAATCTTTTGCAACTGTTGAGCGAAGACAAAAACAGAATGGCTTTTTCTTCTTGAGGAAATGAGGGTGTCGGGCAAATCAAACTTGTTTGATTGTTATACTTTATTAACAATAATTTTTAATGAAGAATTAAACTGACTGGAAGTTTATGGGAAAGTTATTTCTAATTAGGTAGACAATAGATCAAAATGACCACATTTCACAATCAAGATACAACAGTTATGAATAGCCATGTGTGAAATAACTAGGCAACCATCTATGTAAGAGAAACCACAGGACATACAAAGAGAAATTGAAACAAATCAATATTGGGAGACTTGACTATACCACTGTCAGTAAAAACAGGCCAAGAGGACAGAAGATACAAAATAGTTCAACAGCATAATCAATAAGGTAGTTATTTTGAACAAACACATACACAAACCCTAATAGAAAATATACCTTCTCCTCAAGCACACATTGAAAATTCACAAAAATTAATTATACAAAGGTAGACAAAAAAATTAGTGAGTTTCTTAAAGTAGAAATATTACAAACAACATGCTCTGATTACAATGCAATAAAATGAAATAATTAAAAATACAAAACCAAGAAATTAAAAGGCACTTCTACCTGTAAATATTATTTTATTTTATTTTTTTTTTGCTGAGGAAGATTGGAACTGAGCTAACATCTGTTGCTAATCTTCCTCTTTTTGCTTAAGGAAAACTAGCCCTGAGCTAACATCTGTGCCAGTCTTCCTCTATTTTGTATGTGGGTCACCACCACAGTACAGCTTGATGAGTGATGTAGGTTGGCACCAGGATCCGAACCTGCAAGCCCAGGCTGCTGAAGTGGAGAGCGCCAAACTTAACCACTACACCACCGGGCCAGCCCCTACCTGTAGATTTTAATACCTTCTATTAAACAATTCTTGGTTGAAAGGAAAATGGAGTTTCTGAAAAATAATGATAAAAAAGACATTTCATATCATAATCCATGGGATACTTAAGCAGCAATAATCGAAGAAAAAATCATGACCCTAAACACCTTTATCAACAAAAATGAGAGAGAGGGGCTTCCAGTCTGATAGAGTGAGGAGGTCTGTGGTCCTGTACACTAGTTTTTAAATAACTGGTGAAACCTATTTAAAAAAAAACCATTTAAAGTCTCTGGAAATTGTTGCAAAGACTCACATCAAATGAAGAAACATTTACTCAAGAAAGTCTATTAAAATTCAGAAAGAAGAGAGACTGTGGTATTTGAACTAAGAACCACTCCCTTCCTTCCCTCCCAATTCAGCAAGATGGAAATTCCAGTCTAGCCCAGAGCAGCCAAGAGCGCAGGGCTCCCTCCACCCCCAGCTCTCGGTCAGCAGCTATCTTCCCAGGAGGGGCAGAAAGCCAGCATTTCATATCCCGTCCTCGGTCACCTGTTGCTAAGGCTGAGTCCTAGGGAGTACAGCCAGGAGGTGGACGCTCCCATTTCGCACCCAGACCCCAGGCCCCCAGTCATGGGATGGAGACTGCCTTGGATGTGGCAGGTTGAGAACAGGGGCCCCTGATCGCTGAGGCAGGAAGGGGCAAGCCAAGAAGACCTGGGACTACTGTCACCCTCGTCACTTTAGCATTCCGCTCCTAGAGCAAGGATGTCACTCAGAGAGAAACATGTCATTGTTCCCACCCCCAGATCAAGCCCTGAGCCAGGTATTTTGCCTGGAAGGAGAAGCAGACCGTCAAATAAAGAGCTCCTAACCTCGTCCCAAAGGAACTGACTTCATTTGCAACAGTGTGCAGAGATTCGAGGTTGAAGATGCTCTCAAAAACAGCGGAGGTTGTGTGAAAAGGCAATTGGGAGAAGACTGGGAGATTCATTGGACAAATAGGCTCAACTGTAGGCCAGCCAGTTTGCCTGAAAGAACCAGGGAAAAAGCCAGCGGGCAAGAGCCTGCCCAGGGTAAGAACAAATCTCAAACACTGATGTCAGGAACTATCCTTTCAAGGCAGTCCAAATTTGATTGGTTTTGTCTGTAGACAAATTTATGGTCCAGGGCATTTTTGAAAACAGTAGAACAATCAGCTGGAAATTAGTGGAGTTAACAGCCAGGTGTGGTCAGGGGAAGAGACGGTCTGACCGTTCCAAAACCACCTCATCCTAGGGGGACAGGGGATACGCCTAGGCCTGCACCCGGTAAGGCGTCCCACTGTTGGGGAGGGCTGGGAAGGTGAACAGACTCCACTGAAATAAGCCAGCCTGTCACTAACCAAATACACAAGCAAATGAAAATAACAAGCCTCAGACGGGGGGACCCGTCTAAAGTAGCTAAAAGATATTATCTAAAATGTCGTATCCAACAAAAAATAACAAGGCATGCAAAAAAACAGGAGCAGATGACCCATACAGTGGCAAAAAGGCAGACAACAGAAACGGCCTGTGAGGGTGACCAAATGCCAGATTTAACAGACCAAGCTTCAAAGTAGCCCTTATAAATATATTCAAAGGACTAAAGGAAAGCAGGATTAAAGGAAAGAAAGCAAGGTGATGGATGTGTTAATTAACTAGATGGGGGAATCCTTTCACAATGTAAACGTATATAAGCACAATGCGCATTTCATTTATTTTATTTAATTCATTTTTAAATTTTTTTATAGTTCAACTTAAGCAGGTAAGTTTAATGATCAGAACAAAATGGGATCAATTAGGAAAAACCGTATACAAGAGATGCTTTACAGTGTAACAGGTCCTTTTCATGTTGATTATTTTAATAGGGTTTAATATTCCTCAGTCTTCTGAGTTAAAACTCTTCAGCTGGCCATAGGTCTGGAAACATGCACAAATAGACATAATAAGTAGTTTACTGATATTCCATGATATGTTGAATGTGCTGTTCCTCACTAGAAATTCATAGTTGGGCCAGCCCTTCAAATTTTTTCAAAATTTTTATAAAGCCACAATAATCAAGATAGACTGGTACTGGCCAGGGACAGGTATATAGATCAGTGGAACAGAATTTAGAATCCGGAAATACACTCTTACATTTTTTTGGTCACTTGATTTCAACAAAAATGCCAAGAAAATTCAATGGAGAGAGAAGAGTCTTTTCAACAAATGGTGCTGGAACAACTGGATATGAATATGCAACAAACAAAAACTTACTTATCTCACACCACACACAGCAATTAACTCAAAATGATCATAGTCCTCCAAGTAAGAGCTAAAATGATAAAACTTCAAGGAGAAAATCTTTGTGACCTTGGGTTAGATGGAGTTCTCACATATGACACCAAAAGAATGATCCATAGAAGAAGGAAAAAAAGTGATGAATTGGACTTCATAAAATTTTAAAAATTTGTGTTTCAGGAGGCAAAATTAAGAAAAGAAGAAGACTAGGATACAATATTTACAAGTCATGTATCTGACAAAGGACTTGTACCAAGAATATAAAAAGAAATCTTGCAACTTAATAATAAGATAAATAACCCAATTAAAAATAGGCAATAGATCTTAATAGATTTCTCAACTAAGAAGATATATTAACAGCTAATAAGCACATGAAAAGATGCTCAACATCATAAGTCACTGGAGAAATGCAAATTAAAGCCACAAATTAAGGGCCAGCCCCGGTGGCCTAGTGATTAAGCTAGGTGCACTCTGCTTCGGCGGCCCAGGTTTGGTTCCTGGGCTGGACCTACACCACTCGTCTGTTAGTGGCCATGCTGTGCTGGCAGCTCACATGCAAAGAGAGGAAGATTGGCACAGATGTTAGCTAAGGTGAATCCTCCTCAGCAAAACAAAACACAAAACAAAAGCTCCACAAATTAAAAGCACTAGAATGTGTGTGATTAGAAAGACACACAACACCAACTGTTGATGAAGATGTGGGGAAACTAGAACCTTCGTATTTTGCTGGTGGGAACGAAATGTTACAGCCATTTCAAAAAACTGTTTAAAAAAACTTTAAAAAGTTAAACTCAAATTTGCCATATAACCTAGCAATTCCACTCCTAGGAATCTAACCAAGAAAAATGAAAACGTATGTCCACTAAAGGAGAAGTACTGAATGTGCATAGCAGCAATATCACAATAGCCAAAATCCTGTAAACAATCCAAATGTCTGTCAGCTGGTAAATGGATAAACATAACCTGGTATATCCACACAACAGAATGCTATTCATCAATAAAAAGTAATGAAATACATTAAGCAAGTTGTGGTATATACATATAAAGGAATATTATTCAGTCTTACAAAAGGAAGGAAATTCTGCAAAATGCCACAACATGGATGAACCTTGAAAACATTATGCTAAGTGAAATAAGCCAGACACAAAAAAGACAAACACTGTATGATTCCACTTATATGAGGTACTTAGAGTAGTCAACATCACAGAGACAGAAAGCAGAACGGTGGGGGTCAGGAGCTAGGGAGATGGGGCAATGGGGGGTTATTGTTTAATAGGTGTTTAGTTTCAGTTTTACACCATGAAAAGAGTTATGGAGATAGACAATGGTGATGGCTGCACAATATTATGAATGTAGTTAATACCACTGAAGTGTACACTTAAAAATAGCTAAGATGGTAAATTGTATGTTGTGTGTGTTTTACCACAATAAAAAAATTAAGGATGAGTAGTATTCCAGTGTGTGTGTGTGTATATATGTATGTGTGTGTGTGTGTGTGTCTGGGTATATGTATATATACCACATCTCCTTTATCCATTCATCCATTATTGGGCACTTAGGTTCTTTTGATATCTTAGCTATTGTAAATGATGCTGCAGTGAACATAGGGATGCACATATCTTTTCAAATTAGTGTTTTTGTATTCTTCAGATAAATACTCAGAAATGGAATAGCTGGGTCATATGGTATTTCTATTCTTAATTTTTTGAGGAATCTTCATACTGTTTTCCATAGTGGCTGCACCAATTTACATTCTCACCACCAATATACAAGTGTTCCCTTTTATACTTATTATTTCTTGTCTTTTTGATAACAGTGATTCTAACAAGTGTGAGGTGATATCTCATTGTGGTTTTCATTTGCATTTCCCTAATAATTAATGATGTTGAACATCTTTTCATGTGCCTGCTGGACATCCGTATGTCTTCCTTGGAAAAATGTCTATTGAGGTCCTCTGCCCATTTTTTAATTGGCTCATTTTTGTTGTTGTTGTTTAGTTGTATGAGTTCTTTATATATTTTGGATATTAACTCCTTGTCAGATACATGATTTGCAAATATCTTCTCCCATTCAGCAGGTTGTCTTTTTGGAATACTACTCAACCATAAAAAAGAATGAAATCCTACCATTTGTAGCAACATGGATGGACCTTGAGAGTATTATGCTAAGTAAAATAAGCCAGATGGAGAAAGACAAATACCGTAAGATTTCACTCATATGTGGAAGATAAAACAACAAACAAACAAACACATAGATGCCTATTCCATTCACATGAAATCTAAAAAACATAGAACAGGGGCTGGCCCCGTGGCCAAGTTGTTAAGTTCGCACGCTCCGCTGCAGACGGCCCAGTGTTTCATTGGTTCGAATCTTGGGTGTGGATATGGCACTGCTCATCAAACCATGCTGAGTCAGCGTCCCACATGCCACAACTAGAAGGAGCCACAACAAAGAATATACAACTATGTACTGGGGGGCTTTGGGGAGAAAAAGGGAAAAACTAAAATCTTTAAAAAACACAGAACGAACAAACTAAACAAAAACAAACTTGTAGATACAGAGAAGAGATTGGTGGTTATAAGAGGTGATGGAGGTTGGGGATCTGGCAAAACCGCTGAAGCTCAGTTTTTATGGTGAAGGATGGTAAATGGATTTTGCTGGTTATCACTCTGTAGTGTATACTGATATCAAATTAAATGCTGTACACCTGAAACACAATGTTATATGCCAATTTTACTCAATTAAAAAAAAAGAGTTAAAGCAAAAAAATTAAGGAAAAAAGTAATAACTATTGTTATATACAACATGGATGGATCTAAAAAACAATATGCTTAATGGAAGACACAAAAACCCAGACACAGGGCTGGCCCGTGGCCTAGTGGTTAAGTTCGGCATGCTCCGCTTCAGCAGCCTAGGTTCAGTTCCTGGGCGCCGACCTACACCACTCATTGGCCACCATGCTGTGGTGGCAACCCACACACAAAACAGAGAAAGACTGGCACAGATGTTAGCTGAAGGTGAATCTTCCTCAGTAAAAAAAAAAAGAGGCAGACACAAAAGATTATCTTTTATCTGATTTCATTTATATGAAATGTCCAGGAAAGGGAAATTTGTAGAGACAAAAATCAGATTAGTGATTTCGTAGGGCTGGGAGTGGGAGCAAGAATTAATTGCAAACAAGCATGAGAGAATGTGGGGGGTAATGGAGATATTCTAATACTCAATTGTGCTGATGGTTGTACAACTCTATAAATTCACTAGAAAAATCACTGAATTTTACACTTAAAGCAGGTGAATTTTACAGTACTTAAATTATAACTCAAGAAAGCTGTTAAAAATCAAAAGAGATGTTGTACAATTCTACACAAATAAATTTGAAAATCTAGAAAAAATGAGTAATTCTGAGAAAAATACAAATCACTACATTTGATCCCAGGACAGATAGAAAGCTTAAGCAGACCAATTTCCACAGAGAAGAAAACACAAAAAGCACCAGGCCTAGATGTTTTCACAGGAAAATCAATAGTAATGCAAAAATAGTAAATAAAATATCAACAGACTAGAAGCACAACGACAAAGCTGGACCCATAACTGGAATGCAAAGATAGTGTAATATCAGCAAGCTTATTAATATGTCTCATCATGTTAATATATTTAAGAATAAAAATCAAATAATTGCTGGCATAGATGCTAAAAAAGCTGTTGGCAAAATTCCACGACCATTCCTAATAAAAACTCTTGAGAAGATAGGACTGTATGGATACTTCCTTAACAACATAAAATATATACCTCAGTCCAAAAGCCAGCATCTTAATTAATTCAGAAACATTATAAGCATTTCCATTAAGATCAAGAAACGCCCACTGCTACTGAACATTGTTCTGGAGGTGGTAACCAATGCAATTAAACAGAAGAAATCAGCTACAGTCACAAGAATCGGTAAAGAAGAAACAGACTCTCTCTACTTCCCGATGACATTACAGTATACCTGGAAAACTCTAGAAAGTCAATGATAACACCAACTCAAACCATAAAAAATTCAGGGGCCGGCCCCGTGGCCGAGTGGTTAAGTTTGCGTGCTCAGCTTTGGCGGCCTAGGGTTTCGCCAGTTCGGATCCTGGGTGCAGACACGGCACCGCTCATCAGGCCATGCTGAGGCGGCGTCCCACGTGCCACAACTAGAATGACCTGCAACTAAGATATACAACTATGTACCGGGGGGATTTGGGGAGATAAAGCAGGAAAAAAAAAAAAAAAGATTGGCAATGGTTGTTAGCTCAGGTACCGATCCTAAAAAAAAAAAATAAAAAAACTACAAAAAATTCAGCAAGGCAGCAGGATATGAAATTAACATGCAAAAATCAATAACATTCATATAAACAAAACAATAACCAGTTAAAAGATACACTGGCAAAGAAAACCTCATTTATAATGGCAACAATAAAGAAAAAATACTTAAGAATAAACTTAAGAAATGTTCAAAACCTATATGAAGCAAACTATATCTGAAAGATATACAAGTAAACTTTAACAAATAGAAAGATGTCCCGTGTTTGGGTTAGGATGTCTCAACACCATCAAGCTGTCAATTTTCACATTTAATGTGATCACAATAAAAGTATCAGTGAGCTTTTTTACAGAGCTAGACAATTTGACATAAAGTTCAGATTGAAAAATAAACATGCAAGAATAGCTAAGAAAAAAATGAAAAGAGGAGGAGGTTACTGACCCTACCAGATGCAAAAACACACAAAGTTTCTGTAGTTAAAACCATGCGGCACTGGTGCACACACACACCAATGAAACATAACAAAGGAGCCGGCCCAGTGGTGCAGCAGTGAAGTTCGCATGTTCTGCTTCGGCGGCCCGGGGTTCACTGGATCAGATCCCAGGTGCAGGCCCATGCACTGCTTGGCAAGCCATGCTGTGGCAGGTGTCCCCCATATAAAGTGGAGGAAGATGGGCACAGACGTTAGCTCAGGGCCAGTCTTCCTCAGCAAAAAAAAAAAAAAAAAAAAGAAGAGGATTGGCAGCAGATGTTAGCTCAGGACTAATCTTCCTCAAAAATAAAAGTAAGAAAGAAAGAAAAAAGAAACATAAAAAAGTCCATAAATAAACCTAAGTACATATGGAAATCTAGCATAGGACTGGAAGTTATCTCAAGTTACTGCAGCAAAGATGACATTTTAAACAAATGATATAAAAGATAGCCATTTGCAAAAGATAACCCTTAATCCATTTCTAACACCGTACATATGAATAAACTCCAAATGAATTAGAGATCTAAATGTAAAAACTACATAAATACTAGAAGAAAGCATAAATGAATTCCTCTATCTGGGTTTTGTATATGACAAAAATCCAGATCCAATAAAAAAAGATTAATAAATTTGACTATATAAAAATTTTAAAATATTTACAGGGCAAGAACCAACTATATGAGAAGTCAAAAGACAAAGGACCAACTGGGAGAAAATGCCTGCAACGTACTTGCTGGAGGAAGACATTCAAGGTAGTATTCACCAAGTGTTGCACTGCTGGATGGTCAGACACGGAGCAGACAGACAGACACAGTCCTGTCTGGCCTCTCAGTTACACAGATACATTCGGACAGGGTCAAAACACACAAAACAAGGAACTATTTAATTTCCGTTGTGATGGGCTACAGAGTAGAAGCATCGGGTTGCATCCCTGTGTAGACACCTAAACAGATTTTAATGTTAAGGAAATAAATACCAAATAAAAACTAAAGAATTTTAAGTAATAAATTATCCAGATATATAGTGAAATTATAATTTCTTACCATTTTCAGAGTTAGAAATCTGAGGTGCTTCAAATTCTCTCATTTGAAAATGTTTTTCCTTTTGATCTTCAGTTGCTAAAACAAAAGCACATAAAAATAAGTGGAGCAAGAAGAAACTTAGCATGCTTATCTACTGTAATATTTTATAATGATTCTGCCAAAGTGTTGACTTGACCAAAGCAGATTATAAAACATATAAAAGGGAGATGTAAAAATTTAAAGAACCATATATAAAAGTTGTATTTGTGTATATAGATACCTAATATAATATATATATATAATTGTTATATGTCTATAAACAAATAACCTTATAATATCCACAGGTAATTCAGGTCCTGTGATATATATACATCCCCTTGAAAGTTAAAAGTTTTCACATTCCACATAAATTGATACAGCCACTATGGAAAACAGTATGGAGCTTCCTCAAAAAATTAAAAATAGAACTACCATATGATCCAGCAAGGCAACTTCCTGGTATTTATCTGAAAAAGAAAACACTAACTCGAAAAGATATATGCACCCCTGTGTTCACTGCAGCATTATTTACAGCAGCCAAGTTATGGAAACAACTTAAGTGTCCACTGATGGACGAATGGATGAGGAAGATGTGGTAGATATATACAACGGAATATTATTCAGTCATAAAAAAGAATGAAATCTTCCTATTTGTGACTACACAGATGGACCTTGAGGGCATTGTGCTGAGTGAAATAAGTCAAACAGAGAAAGAAATACCATATGATCTCATTTATAGGTACAATCTAAAAAAACAAAGAAACCAAAAACCGAGCTCACAGATATTGAGAACAGATTGGTAGCTGCCAGAGGTCGGGTGGGAGGAAATGGGTGAAAGCAGTCAAAAGCGCAAACTTCCAGTTATAAAATAAATAAGTCATGGGGATGTGATGCCCAGCATGGTGACTGCAGATATAGTTAATAATACTGTACTGCATATTTGAAATTTGCTGAGAGAGTAAATCTTAAAAGTTCTCATCCCAAGGAAAAAAATTTGTCACTATGTACGGTGATGGACGTTAACTAGATTTATTGTGATCATTTCACAATAAATACAAATATCAAATCGTCATGTTGTACAACTGAAACTAGTATAACGTTATATGTCAATTGTACCTCCCTCAGCTAAAAAAACAAGTTTCACACTCTTAAGCCGCCTCCTCTCCTGATGGACCTGTTCTCCTCCTATATTCTCTAAAAGGCCATGTTATATTCTGTTCTGCCTGATCTTCGTGTCTCTGACACCCACGTGTTCCTTTTAGGTTGACTGGGTGAATAAATGATTGAATATGGTCTGCTTTTAATTCAAGGGCTGCTTTATCCTTCTGAGAGCAGCATGTGGCTGTGAGCAGCACCTACACCAGAGTGACTGTTGCAGAGACTTTATCAGGAGGGAGAGATCAAACGCATGTGCTAAAAGACAGCATACTCTCTTAGGCTCTTTTGAATGTTTTTAACACTTAAAAAATTCAAACAGGGGCCCAGCCCAGTGGTATAGTGGTTAAGTTCATGCACTCTGATTCAGTGGCCTGGGGTTCGCAGGTTTGGATCCCAGGCATGGACCTACACTGCTCATCAAGCCATGCTGTGGCAGTGACCCACATACAAAATAGAGGCAGACTGACACAGATGTTAGCTCAGGGCCTATCTTCTTCAAGCAAAAAGAGGAGGATTGGCAGAGATGTTAGCTCAGGGACAATCTTTCTCACACACACATACACACACACAAAAAATCAAACATACAAACCAAAACCCCCATAGACAAAAACTGGTTTTTTAATAAAAATTATCTACAAGTTTTGGGCCTACATTGAGACAAATTATGCCCTATTACTACAATGGGAGCCAGTTTCTTAGAGTCAGTTTCCCACACAATCCATCTCTACCTCATTTGCAACCCAGGATAGACATAAAGACCCAAAAAAATCCAAGATTTTGATATTTTCAACTATCATCAGAGTCATTTTCTAAAAATATAAATGAAATGTAAATGTCTCCTGTATACAAAAGTGGGTAGTGTTGCTGGATAGAGAGCTTAAAGGGTGTAATACATCTAAGGACAAGGAAGTAACATCTTACTACATTCTTATTAAAATGCAATGCTCAGTTTGTTGCTACAAAATTTGATGCTACAAAATAAAGTAGAAAAGGTTAAATCAATCAAAGTAATCAAAAGGAAAACAAATGCAAAAGAAAGATATAAGGAACTCATGGTTATTTAGCCTTAAGATAAGGAAACTGCAGGATGAATTAGGTTCTAAGTTCAAATACAGTTAGCATATAAAGATGGTGGAAAAAATACAGAAGATAGAAAAATGGACTTCATTGGTAAAGATTTCAGTTGAACGTTGGGAAAAAAAGTGGAGGGAAAACTCTGGGAATGGGAAAGGGATTCTAGAGGTGGCGAGAGAAGGAAGCAAGGAGGAGAATTAGGGTCTGAGGGCAGGGAAGGAATGGGTGACAGACAGACAGGCAGTCACACCACAGAAACTTTTGGTAAGACTCAGAAAAAGAGTTGGGGGAATGGACAGATGTGTTAAAGGATTGAAGCCGGGTACCTGAGGATTACTGCAGATATTCAATAAGAACATGATTGCCTTTTGACCTTGTTCCCAACACAGGCATAGATGAATCGTGCTAATTTGCTGTTTTCTTGTTTAACTTGAGGGGTGACTTGCGTCTCGAGGATTTGTGAGCTTGTTTCGCAGAAGAAAGAGAAGGCCTTCGGGGAGGCTGTGATCTGGCCCTCAGCAGCCTTGAAGGCCAGAAGTCAGACTGCCCAGGGGCTTATTGGGAGGGACCCTTTGTTTCTCTGAAGCTCCTCCTACTGAGCCCCTTAGCTCGATAAACCCTCCTGCTTTCTGCTCTCGGGATGGTGGATTTGACTGAACCCATGCTCCCACCTTCTCGTTTGGCCAATTCAAATAAACCTTTCTCAGTCTCCAAGCACTGATGTCTCAATGTTTGGCTTGCTGCACCTTGGGCACACAAACTTGAGGTTAAGAAGTTTGGTATCAGGATCTTTTTTTTTTTTTTTGAGGAAGACTGGCCCTGAGCTAACATCTGTGCCCATCTTCCTCTACTTTCTATGTGGGATGCCTCCACAGCATGGCTTGATAAGTGGTGCTAGGTCCACTCCTGGTATCCGAACCTGCAAACCCTGGGCCGCCAAGGCAGAGTGTGTGAACTTACCCACTACGCCATCAGGCCAGCCCCCAGTACCAGGATCGTTCAAGGAGTATTGCTTTATAAGATGCAGGGTCATCGCCTTCCTCTCGCTTCTCTAGAAATCTTTAATGACGATCTGCTTTACTCTATAATGTTTTGGTATGGATTCATGTGGGCTTTGGTTTTATTTTAATGCTACAGATGTGTGTGAGATTGGGATCAACACAGGTATATGTGAGAGAAAGGCTAGCTCAAAAGGCATAGTTTTATTCCATTATATGAAACACCACTTGAGTAGATATCTCAGAGAATGAATGCTTGAAGGCATTTCAAATTACTTCCTTGAGATAGTTCTAAAAGTAAAATTATTCAATTAAAGTCTGGGATGTTTATGTTTTCCAGAAATGTTATCCCAGTTTCCACTCCTACAAGTAGTGATGGTGGTATCTTGGTCCCAGGGACACTGAATATTTTCAAAACGTTCTTTTTAATATGACCAATGAAAAATGCTACCTGTAAATATAATAGACTAGATACTCAGAAGTACCCTCCCTTACAAAAAAAAACCTCTTGCAAAAACCATAAAATATACTTTTAATGCATTGCTAGACTTATTAGAAACAAACAATGTAAGCTGAAACCAGAGCTGGGAGAGATGAGTAGTGAGCAGAGGGGAAAGGCAGGTGCCCATATGCACACTGCTCTCCTGAGACAAAGCCTTCAGCAAACACCAAGGAACGAAGCTGAGCCCAGGATTCCCACATAAGATAAAGGCCCTGGAAGGAGGTTGGAGTGGTCACCAGATGGGTGCGTTACCTCGCTCTGGAAAGAAGCAATGTGAATTTTTACTAGGGAAAAATCATCTGAGCTTCTAGGATTCCCACAGATTAAGAGGAAATAAGTATTAGCTCACAATCAGAAATCACTAAACAAACTGATAAGCCACCACAAGAAAACTGGGAGAAACCAACAAATAATAGATAAGGACACCAGCATCAAGGACTTCAAATGCTTATATTTTTAGATACAGATATGAGTCAAAAGGTGAGAAAGAACAAAAGACTATAAAAACCAACTAGGCAGGGGGCCAGCCCCATGGCCGAGTGGTTAAGTCCACACACCCCACTTTGGTGGCCAAGGGTTTCACAGGTTCAGATCCTGGGCGCGGACATGGCACCACACATCAGACCATGCTGAGGCCGCATCCCACATGCCACAACTAGAAGGACCCACAACTAAAATATACAACTATGTACTGGGGGGATTTGAGAGAAAAAGGAAAAATAAAATCTTAAAAACAACAAAAAAACCCCAACTAGGCATATTTGTGAAACAAACACATAGAACTTTTAGACATAAAATGTATAGTTGTTGGGGGAGGGGGAAATTCATGTATATTAAACAGTAGATTAAATGCCAGAAGAAAAAATTAGTGAAAGAACTTTACATAGAATGCAGCAGAGAAAGAAGATGGAAAATATGAAAGAGAGGTTAAAAAATATGAAGGAAGAATGAAAAGGTCTAACATCAGCTTACTGGTGTTAGGGAAGGAGAGAATAGAGAAAAAGGAGGAGAGGCAATATTTTAAAAGATAATGGAGCCAGCCCTGATGGCCTAGTGGTTAAAGTTCGGTGTACTCTGCTTTGGCAGCTCAGCTTCGGTTCCCAGGTGCAGAGCCACACCACTGGTCTGTCAGTAGCCATGCTGTGGTGGCAGCTCACAGAGAACTAGAAGGACCTACAACTAGAATATACCACTATGTACTGGAGCTTTGGGAGGGGAAAAAAAAGAGAGAGAAGAAGATTGGCAACAGATGTTAGGTGAGTGTGAATCTTTCCCAGAAAAAAAAAAAGATAATGGTTGAGTTATGCATACTTTATCATATCAAA